ATGCAGGACTCTAAATTGTTGCCTGGCTTACCTATAAGTGCATTTATTCCTAGCAGCTTAAGTTGATGTTGGAAAGTGTAGAATATACTGGTAAATTCTCTAGAACAAATCATTGGATAACAGATTCAATGAATTTAATTGTATTCCATTTTAGATTATCTTAAAGCAAATATTTTATGGGTCGCGTGTTTGCACGAACAAACGTGACGGTTACATTTTGAAATGTTGATGGTAGGAACCAAGATGGTGGAACCTGTGTTTGGTGGTGGGAACTACGGGCTGCTGTACAGCTCCTGCACTTTGAAACATGGGAGTAAAGTGCCCCCTTGAGGATATAAAAATAAAGGACTCACTTCAAACACTCCTGAAATGAGACACGGCAATGTCGAAGTGACCTCTGGATCTACACGAAACAATTTTACAGAATTTGAAAGTGAAATTTGAAGTGTAAAACAAAAGAAACACATCAGAAGGAGGAATCTCTTATGTTTTCTGTCTAATTTAATATGCATTTTTTATAAAAAACTCAATGATACTATCGTAATGTAGTAATTAAAATATTATTTGCGTATTGATAGCCTGACGCTAGTGTCTGTTGTGATATTATAGCTTCTATTTTAACACATTGCCTGTGTAAAAGGGACATGTTTTACTCAGAAGAGAAGTCTGAGCCAGCTAAGATTTGTTTCTGGTGCTTTGTCTCCCTCTGCAGTTAGAACTGAGTAAAGACAGTTTGGAAACAAAGTCAAGTGAGATACAAAAGAATAAGAATGTTGCAAAAAGTGGAAAAATAGCAAAGAACTATGTATGGAAACTACTTAAAGGCAAAGAGTCTGTATGTGTTCGTGAAAAATGCTTGTTTGTGTTATGTTGTGCATATATAAGTCTCTTTAAATAACCGTGAGCAGTCTAAATACCAAATTAATGTGCTATGAATCTGTTTTCTAGATCATTCGTCAACATATGACGGGCAGGTCTTGTCATTTTCCCATTCTGGCTTTGTAAGTTGCTCATGGTGACCATTTGTGGTGATGCCGTGTAGCCGTTTCATCGACATCTGCAACATGTTTACAACTTCCAAATCTGTTTTTCCACACCGAAAACATAAATCCCCGTTTACATAAAAGGAATTGGTTCTGAAGACGTTTATGTGCCCTCGTGGCATTGTTCAAAAAACCCTTCATCTGCTTGCAAAAAAAAAAAAAAGTTACTTCAAAGGCAATAATTGCTGAAAAGTAGAATTGTTGTTTCTGGAAACAATTTCCTGCTGTCAGCTTTGTCGGGTTCCATAAATGCTCTAAACTGTGTGAATTAGATTTGATTACAAAGTAGTTTTCTGTTAGTAGTGTCATAAATACTGTCCCGGGCCTGGTGGCTTTGTTTTTACTTGTCACACTGCGTAATCCCTTCACAGCGCAGGGGGCGATGCTCCTTCCCCAAACCACACTCATATTTCTTGTGCATTCCAGCGTGTGTTTTACCCTATGGTTTTACCCCATTAAACATATTAGCACCATGTGTTTGTCGTGCCACATTACAGTCCAACAATGCCTCTGAAATATCCCATATGCACTTGTCTGACCTAAACCAATTAAAGACATCAGGGTGTCTCAGTGGATCAGAGACACACGCGATATATAGGAGTGAAGCCTTTGATGCAAGTCTTTTCCCATCTAATCAAAATTCAGATGCCATATTTAAAGAATAAGGCTGCTGTTAGTCTATATTTTCCTTATGTAAACAGTTTCAGTGTTGTCCCATCACTGTCAGAGACTGAATATATAATTTAGTTTGGTTTAAAAAGGTAACATTATCTTACACAGCTGGGGCTATGAATCATTCAGGATATATCAATATCGGCCGATCAATGTGAGCTGGAGATTGTGTCATAGGAGTTTTAGCCTAACAAATGAATAACCAGAGTATTTTGGACTCCATATTATTCAACCATGGAATATTTCACTAAAGGAAGGTGAGATTTTTGAATGTTGACAATGTCTGTTGAACTTTAAAACCCTTTCAAATGTGGGGTTGTTTCGCATGTCATATGTAGTGACTGTCATTATCCCACAGACCCCGGGGTGTCTCTTAGATGGTCTTGGTAATATAAAAGATGAAAGTACAGTATATTGGATATACCTTATTTATTTTTACCTTGATACGCTGAATCGTGTTAACACATACTGTTTATTTTTGATTTAGTGCATTTTTTATTCCATTGTATATCCCCAAATACTACTTAAAATTAGCTCTACCTTTTTATTACTTAAGGACCTTTTCTAAATGTAACATTTCTATAATTTCTCATTGAAACTGTACTAAGATTCTCATAAGAATAAAAAAAAAAAAAAAGTTAAGTTATATATAATTTTCACTATTTCATTTGTCTATTTGAGTAAACAAGAACACGCTCTACTATGTAGTTATACTCCTTATGTAGAGTACCTTCCTTTACACTTTTAACTGCATGTGAATGGGATTGTATTTTGAAACACCTTCTTCTATGAGCCCTGCTATTGTGCTGAAAAATGTCGCTTATGACAAATTATCAGTCATTGTTATTATCAACACTAGTGTTTCCTCGACTACCCTTAAGAAACCCATCTTAGGATCCTGTGCTCAACAACAAGATGGACCCAAAAGCCCATAGATCCATGAGACACAGTTATTAATCTGGACTTTCTAGGCCTGCTTCCAGCTTGAGGCCCCTCACTGCAGTGTCTCCCCTCCGGCCCTGTCACTCGTCATATGTGGATGATGCTATCAAAACATTTCCGTCAAAACTAAAACAGCTGTTCCAACAGATAGAAAACATCTTACTTCCACAGTCTTTCATCACTGATCTAACGTCTCGTTCGGCAGTGAGAGGGACTCCTTGCACACGTCTCCGTGTTCACCTTGTCTTCTGCGTAAAAATATGAAAAGAAACAGATATCACGGTGCGAGCGCCAGGACAGTGAGTGCACGCTACCCTAAGTGCTATCTTGGCTTTGGAAATTGTGGTTTAGGAGGATTATTTGGACAGAAAGAGGGAGTGAGAAAGAGACAGACAGGGGCACACACACACACACACACACACACACACACACACACACACACACACACACACACACACACACACACACACACACACCACGAGCCAGAGACATTATCTGCGAGTTGTCCACTGAAATACATGTATATTGAGTTCCTTTGTTGTAATGGATAATGGGGCAAGATTTAAAAAGGTGGTCAAAATTAGCCAAAAGAATGAAAAGCATGTCTCCGAATCACTTCGATCTCTTCAAAATGCTTTGTTGGCAGCTGGTGGGAATTCAAATTAAACGGTTCATTTTCACCAAAGTGCCCTCAATTGTTTCCTAAAATGATTGATATCTCATTTTGGAACAAATCTTATTAATATTATCTCCTCCTCGCGGTTTTTCGTTCAGCTCAAGTAGCTCAGAATGTCTCAATTTTCATTCTCCAAAATGTCAACAAGCAGCCAGGAAGATGTGTACTTTGTCCTCTGTCCACTCTGTGAAGCAGACCTATAAAACGCCTCTTCCTTTGAAGGTGCTGTGGACCTGAACAGGATGGCCTCCCATTGTACCCTTATTTTTTTTTAACTCTCTTTAGCAAACAGGGCAGTGTTTGCATGAGTTCTTTTTGTATCGTCCGTGTTGGCTTTTCCATACCTGGACACTTCAAAGACTATTATGGGTTTAACAAGAATAGTCACCATGTAGAAAAAATGGACAATCACTTCTGCCTTCAATAAAAAGAAGAATTTGATCAATTGAAACTTAGTGGTAGTGTGCATACAGGTTTTGCTTGATGTTTACAAATGATGGCATTACTTTACGCTGCCACATGAGGGCGTATTGTTGGTGATGCACTAACAGAACATATGAGCTGGAAAACTACACACTCAATAACTGTAATTTAATTTAAGCAAGCATGAAAATCTGAAACTCCAGTCTTTATCATTTCAAAATCTAAATACGTCTCATACTATCATGTATGATAAAGAAAAGCATGCATATTCACATTTTTTAAATGGAAACTAATGATTTTTTTAACTTTTGGCTCACAAAATAGACAAAAAATACATTAATCAATATTCCAAATAGATGCAGTATAGATATCTGTTGATTGGCCAATGAATTAATTGACTGATACATTCAGCTGTAGTCACTTTTAGTAACTTTATGATCAAGATAAAGGTCAAATAGGATTGTCCTATTTAAATACTACAGTGTCATGATACGATAAAAAAATATACTTATTTTGGAAAGTGACATTAAGAATAAATTCAAATGAAATGCAAATTCATTATTGTTGTGGAAATGTTATTCTACATGTGAAATTCATTTAAGTTGTATTTTAGGTGGCCGGGTTGCATAACCGAGCATCAAAGACTGGATCCCACAAAAGGTCTAATATTATTCAGAAGCAGCAAAGAAAAGTGAATGCAAATATTGATGATATTGGAAATAGATTTCTGGACAAAATTCTTAGCATTTACATTTAAATTATTGATGCATTAAAGTGTTATCAAAGCTGGTAAAGGTGCAGCTAGTTTTAATTACGATGGGACGCGCGGGCCAGACAGACTCCCCCCGAGGTGAGGTGCACCGGGAGAGGCCACTGTCTCCCAGCCTTCCGATGCCACAACAGTCTCACTTTTGGAGACGTGAGTAGCGCGTATCGGACATCCGGAACCCCATCTACCCCCACCCTCTGTGTCTCTCTCTCTCTCTCTTTTTCCCAGCCAGTCCTCTATCAGTCCAGGTGGCAGAGCGCACATCGGCCGGGGGATGCAGCCTCTCATCTCCAGCACATGGACAGCGGAGCTCGGAGCTGCCGCAGCGCGCCACGGCTCCACTAGCTGAACAGACCAAGAGAGAAGAGACCACGCTCCCCGAGTTAAACTCCTGGATTCCGGATAAAAAAAGGATTTACTTCTTCCCACTTTTTGCTTCTTATCTCTTCAAACCAGTTGTGTTCAATGCGCAGCCATGCTGATCATCTCGTCCCGCAGTGCGCTGCTGTCCGTCTACTACCCACAGATCTTCCTCATCCTCACCAGCGGTAGCTACCTGTAGGTTTCTCATCATCGCACTTGCTTAATTCAATCACAGGTCGGTTTGATTCGCTGGCAAAAAGTCGTGCTTTACGCGAAAATTGGGCAATTACGCACGAGGGTCAGGTTAGATCGTAGATTTTTGTTGCAGGTGTTTTATTACGATGAGTTAACATGATGTGTTTACACTTAATACGTTTCATTGTAACGTGGTTACGCTGTTCCTGATAGATTTATCAAAAACATTGAAAACCATGTTACTTTTTAACCAAGATTTGGAAAACATTGGTAGGAAATGTGTCTTTTTAATCATTGTATATTCCATAAGAGAATCCCACAAGGATTTAACCCTTAATCTAAGCAGTGATGTCACTTTCATTCAATGTTTAATCTACCTGGTTTTTATATGAACATGCAGCTGATGAGATAACCTGCTCTTATAGATTTACACATTACACCAGAAGCACTCTGTCATAGGAGCACCTCGTCACACAAGGGCCGTAATTGGAAAGCAGCATGTGGAAAAGAGACATATTGGACTACTTCATGTTCTGCCTATAGGCGCGGGCCTATGTAATGAGCTCTTTCTTATGGCATTAAAAGACCCAGGCCCTCACAAAGGGAATGATTGCTGCACCATACATGCCTCTCATTCATAACAAGGGCAGGTCCTGGAACTTAAAATAGCTGTGGTGGTTCATGTTTTCTGTAACACAGAGAGAGGACAGGAATGAAGTGGATTTGGACCCAAAAGTACCATTGTTCTCTTTTATGTCATTAAAAAGGTCTATTAGATTACATGTGATGTGATCTGGGTAAGGATAAAAGTTGTCATTATGATGATATTTTTTCGTTTGGGTTGATTACGAAACCAGGGCAGTGGTGGCCAAGTCCATAGGGACTTGGCTTGGCAACTGGAAGGTCACCAGTTCAAGTCCCGGTAAGACCAAGTGCTACCGAGGTGTCCCTGAGCAAGGCACCGTTCCCTACACTGCTCCCCGGGCGCCGTACATAATGGCAGCCCACTGCTCATAACACTAGGATGGGTCAAATGCAGAGAAACCGTTTCGTTACATAGTACCTGTACTACGTAATGACAATAAGTTGAATCTTCAATTATTAGGTATGATTTGTTGACTGGCAACTGTCATGTAAATTTGAGCAAAACATTACTGAGTATTGGGAATAAATCTTATTATTTCCCCCCCAAAATCATAGCCAGGGCACATAGTTCAATCCAAACTGTAGGGCTAAACCATATGAGGGAAATGTGCGATATGTGAAAGCTTTGATGAATATCACATTGACGATATGAATGCGATAAATAAACCGAATAAACCTGCTTTCAGTTTTGCTTTAATACATAAAACAAGATAAAAAAAATTGCTTGTTGGAATACGAAAATGAAAAAACAAATTCCAACATAAGATACACAAAAATTGGAGTTATATCAGAGTTGTACGCGTATGTTTTTAGCTACATTTTTGTTTTGTGTTTCATGCCGCTCTCATTAATCCCTGTTTCTCTCTGCCAGGGCGCTGTCCTCTGTGGTGGCTCTAGGTGCCAACATCATCTGCAACAAGATACCCGGATTGGCCCCCCGCCAGAGAGCCCTCTGTCAGAGTCGCCCGGACGCCATCATCGTTATCGGCGAAGGCGCCCAGCTGGGCATCAATGAGTGTCAGTACCAGTTTCGTTACGGCCGCTGGAACTGCTCGGCCCTGGGAGAGAGGACCGTCTTCGGACAAGAGCTGAGAGTAGGTCAGTCTGTTTGAAAACTCAGCTTTTAAAAATTGTTTTTGAATATATTTATCTCAACATGGGCAAAAGAAAATCTGAAAACTAGGCTGAGGGAGAAGAAGATAGTTGCTTCGAGGAAAAATGACCTAAATAAGGTTTTTTCTGGGGTATGACTGTAGGTTTTTTTGGAATTTCTATGCCTTTATTTGAGGTTTTAACAGCCGTGACACTCAACTAAAGTCCTCGGCCATGACAAGTTTCTACGAGACGGTGCAGTTCATGTTCCAGCTTTAAACTCTCAGGGCAACACTGTTTTTGTACTTAAGTTAAACTATAGCTAAGAAAATCTCTGCACTGTATATTTATCTCCATTTTTACATTTAGTTAGATCAAACTAAATTTAAACAGTCAGATTTCTGTGCGGGTGCATAAAACATCTTCTCCTTTTGTATAAATCTGTCAAAACGTGTGTCAACGGGTTGGTCCGAAGACCAATCTGAGTAGTACGGTCTGATTTTACATTTATTAAAGCGAAAATCGCTGTGCTACGTGAGTGGATGAGCATGGTTCAGCACTGAGAGTAGTTTTTCTCACTTTCCTTGCATTGTCCTCCAACTTCTAAGTGCCATGAGAAAAAGCTGCAGCATAGCTCAACATAATGGAATTAAACAGACTTAAAGCTGGGTGGCGAAACACTAAATGAAAGCATTTCTCTTTGGAATACCACATCCAACGATCACAATAAATCTTCTGTCTCTTTTAGACACCAAGACAAAAGACTCCAAGGCCTTGCTAGTGTTTCCCAACGGAGATTCAATCTGTAGCTCATCTGTGTGACATCAATGCGCTTGCAACACATATTGTCAAAGCAAAGCAGTAACAAATGGAGTGTAGACTTCCTTCCTTGTAGTGCCTATCTGGGTGTGCCATCTTTTCAAACAACGCGCAAACGTACACATCTCCCTGCTTTTAGTCGACATTCTTTCACAGTTTCATTTCTCACAGAAGTCCTTTTGCTCCTAAAGTGAACCTCTTCTATGAACTGTGTTTCAGTCCGAAATGTTTTGTTGCGGTCTTGCTGTGGCTTTGGATCCATGTTTAATCTAGCAGCTCTGGGAGCAATCACTTTCTTCTACACGGGAGACAAGGCAGACAGACGTCTGGATCCCTTTATTTCTTTTGTCAAGAGGAAATGTCTCTTTTCTCTTGTGGTGTGTAAACGAGTTCGGAGTGAAGCTTTGGATCCATATAAAGTCCTTGTGTCCTCCCAATGTAGACAAATTAATATTTTCTGGAACACAAAATCTTATCAAATCTGTGTAAAAATACAGTTAATTGCTGAGCGTGTTAGATTGCCTTTCATCTTCATGGATTCACAGTAAGATTAGTTTCCATTTGCCATCCCGTGTCCATTCTTGCTGTTTGTTAAAATTCCAATTAAAGCCAGAGCTGTACCCCCTCTTGAGGCGCATTGTACCATCCACCACTTCATTTGATTGACCTGCCGGGCCTGTGAACTCATTAGACATTGAGAAAGACCAGAGAGATTCATGCTAACCACTAATTGAAGTCAGCTCCAGCAGCTGGATGGCAACAATGGAGGCCTGCATGCACTGCCGTACAATCAAAACAAATCACAGCGCGAGGAGATGGCTGTTTGGCTATTGCATGCGCCTGATGCCTTGAGAAATGCTCACCATACAATATATCGGAATGGGTCGCGGATTCAGCTTGATGAGAGATGACTTCAGAGTTTGTTATGAGTTATGGAGAGGGGGAACCGCAGGCTGATGGTTCTCTGCGAGTGAGTTTGTCAGTTTGGATGGGAGCCATTAGAATCGCCTCTACCAGACCAGTATGCATTAATACTCACTGGGCTGTTGAGAACGGAGGCCCAGCATTATCCTGATTGGAGACGGAGAATATCCCGTTACCAATTGTAGTGCCAATAAATTCCTTCCCACCCCCCACGCCATAAATATAAATGTGTTTATTCTGAAGTTCAAATGGTGACAAAAACTTGGAAATGGGCACATCTCAGTCAAGTCTGGCCACAGATTATTTCAACACAGCCGTATCATTTCCTGTATTAATGTTGACCGCCTAAGAAGAACACCGAGTGACACTTAAGCCGCGTGAGAAATCCCATTGATGAAAAACATCGAGACACAGCAATTTCATAGAAGAGCAGATCTAGAAAAAAGCTCCTCCGGTCAGCCAGTAGATGTCACTTGTGTTGTTTTCATCATACTGAGAACTGTAACGGTGATATATAAAATAAATTGCGGACATCTTCAACATGTGATATTTAGCCCTTTAAATCGGCAGCATACAGTACATTTTAAATTAAGGGTGGGTTAAGAGTAATATTTGACATTTGAATAAATATATGTTCAGGACCACTGTGACATTCTTTCACTATAATTTTACTCAAAAAGGGATTTGTCTCTTAATCAGATATGTCTACTGAAGTGGGCGACTACATTTCCTGAGAGGGCTAGTGGGTAGGCGTCAGATTGCAATTGGGCTGATAAATGCATTTGAATATGTTTTATGAAGGGTGTGTACAGCTGTACATTTTACACGCCTATTAGTTTTGCTGCACATGTTTGGGTGGGAAAAATTAAACCCTGACTCTGTGACTTGGTATAGGTTTGACTTCACAAATGTTAGAATCTTTATTTTCCCTTTAAGAAACCTAGTAGTGTTTTTAATTTACCGCCTACAGTAAATGCCCACTTCTTTAAAACACATCACTCCCAGTTTGTAACGCAGGCTATCCGCTAAAAATCCTCTCGAGCCCCAGTTGAAGTTTTTGGAATAGCTTTCATGGACTAAATCATACTTGTCATGAAAACTAAGCTACAAATCCAGTGTAAAATTGGTGCACTGCTCCTTTCATTCTCACACATTCCTTCACTAATGAAAAACCTACTGAATATAAATGACAGTTTTTGTATTACTTCTTTCTTCTCTGCCTCAAATTCATCGACTTTCTGCTCTTTTTTTCTTCAGGCAGCAGGGAGGCAGCATTCACATACGCCATCACCGCAGCCGGAGTTGCCCACGCGGTAACTACGGCTTGTAGCCAAGGCAACCTGAGCCAGTGCGGCTGCGATCGCGAGAAGCAGGGCTACCACGACCGAGAGGAGGGCTGGAAGTGGGGGGGCTGCTCTGCCGATGTGAAGTACGGGGTGGAGTTCTCGCGGCGCTTTGTAGACGCTCGTGAGATCAAGAAAAACGCCCGGCGGCTGATGAACCTGCACAACAACGAGGCAGGGCGAAAGGTAATGCACAAGCACAAGGAGGAAATTAATACATCCAATAAATATATACTTAAAGATAACATCAGCAGCTAAACACTCTTAAACTGCATTTCAGCATTCATTTGTTTTAATACTAATACACCATGGTATGTTTTGTAATAAACATGTTTAATATTGTAGTACAATGTGCATAATTTTACCTTTTAATCTTTTGTCTATTCATTTTTTGCTTAATAAATTCTTACTGTCTTTTGTTATGTTTTTTAATAATTAACTTTATTTTTTAATTGAACTTTTATTTTATTTCATTCTAAAATCGAATTAAAACACCCAGGATAATAATATTGCAAATTCTGATTCTGATCTGAAAACATTATACAACACCATATTCCAGTTAAAGTACAATTATAATCATAAATTATAAAGTACAATTATAAAATACGATAAAAGCGTCAGCTAAATGAAATGTAATGTAATGAGGATAGCTATTAAGTGTGAAATCCTTAAGCTAGCATATATTGTCCATGACTTGTGTTTTTGTATCAGTAACTATATTTATTTCAGCCCAAAACTGTGCAACTGATTTTAAAAAGCTCCTGTACACTAGACTTGGACAATGCAAGTGTGACAGAAATGCAAAACTTGGCCGATGCATTTTCCAAGATGGAGCTGTGCCACAGAATTAGGACGCATTAAGTGAGGAAATCGAATATTATTGCAAGTTTCTCTCGTTTCCTTTCTTAGTGGCAGTAGCAAAGAGCGTGCTTCTGCAACACCGCAAGAGCCACCTCCCCCAGAATGTGAAAAAGGGGAAGACTGAGACATTGATTTAAAAAGTGGTCTACAAAAGTGAATACATTAAGAGAAGCTTAGTCGCTTGTATAACTTATGATGATAATGTGAATATTCTTTGCTATAAAAACGAGCTTCTTCACAAGGGCAAACAGTCACCTGTCAATTTTGTCATATGAAAATATTTGTTTGGCATTGTAATATAAATCTGGCTCAAACCGCAGTGCAATTCTATACGTATATGGTTTGCACAACAGCTCTGGTCACTTTTCTCCGGCCTGTCAGGCCATTATGTGGTCTGAAGAAAGGTAAAGATAATTAGAGACTACAGTCTGAGTTATTTTCCCCAGGTTTTGTCGACATAAAGTTGGCATTCAGGAGTGCCGAGTGTTGAAAAGCCCAGCTGACCAAGAGAGATGGATTTGGAGGCTGTCCGATTGCTATTAGCCATTTCAAATTCAATTGTGTTTTACTACTTATTTTCTAGCTCTTCTTAACTATCTCTTTTAATTCACACAGAGCTAATTTCTGCTCTCTATGTGATCAGATGCTAGAGGAGAGGATGAAGCTGGAGTGTAAGTGTCACGGCGTGTCCGGTTCCTGCACCACCAAGACCTGCTGGATCACCCTGCCCATGTTCAGAGAGCTGGGTCACCTGCTGAAGGAGCGCTACAGCGGGGCCGTTCAGGTGGAGCCGGTCCGGGCCTCGCGACTCCGACAACCCTCCTTCCTGCGACTCAAAGAGGCTCGGGGCTACCAGAAGCCCACGGACACGGACCTGGTGTACCTGGAGCGTTCGCCCAACTACTGCGAGGAGGACAAGGTCACGGGAAGCACGGGAACGCGGGGACGACTGTGCAACGGCACCTCCACCCACACGGACGGTTGTAACATGATGTGCTGCGGCCGGGGGCACGACACGCACAGCTACACCCGCATCTGGCAGTGCAACTGCAAGTTCCACTGGTGCTGCTTCGTCAAGTGCAACACATGCAGCGAGAAATCAGAAGTGTTCACCTGCAAGTAGGGGAGGAGGAAGAGGGGGAAGAGGCTGGGGGAAACGGACAGTGGTGGAAAGTAAGAAGGTGGAATTTGAAGTGAAGGACTTGGAAGTATTTATTCAACAATTTGCACATTTTTACATCCTTTTCTGAGATTCTTTAAAGAAAGAACCAACAGACATGGAGTTTTGGAAAAAGAGACATGGTCGATTTAAAAAAACGTTCCTTTTTCTGCGCGCTGGTACAAAACTGTGACATGATGCAAACGTGTTGCAGGCTAAAGGATTTGATGGTCTCCCTTTTGCCTCTAGACGACATCTTGCAAAGATGTAGCATACAGTTCTCAAACGCGAGAGGAAACACAACAAAAACTATTGTTGGATCTTGAAAATACAGTGGAATACTTTTAACTGTACGCTCACACTGTATTCTGTTTGAACACTGAAAATAAAACAAATTATTTATGTAAAAATATCTTTGAAAACTAGCCTTAAAGGATGAATAGCAGAAAAAATGGCTTTTAACTTTTTTTCCTCTTTTATGATCGTAAATTGCTACTGATAAGGAGTCGCAGTTATCCATTATCAGTTGTCAGTGGCGTACTCCGCTATAGATTAGTCGTTTTTCTTTTGCACTCACGGTTATTTCTTTCCCTTTTCCATCAGTTATGAGTCGTGCTGTTGAGCGCTGCGCGGACATCTCTCTCACGGACAAATTCCCCTCCGAACCCAGACCTCTTTTGTTACGCCAGGAGACAAAGAGGTAGAAAATACCCCCAAACTATTTTAAGCATCCAACTTTGAACAGTTTGAATGGCTCTTTCCATTCTGACCGTGCTCATTGTTGGAGGGCCCTTGACTTCTGAGGAAATCGTGTAAGCCTCATTGGAACTCCATAGAGGTGCAATCATGTTCAGATACATCCAACGTTCCCATGATCGGCAGAGACGTGGAATTCCACATGATGCTTACACAGGGCCTCGCAGCGCGGTTTAGGCCTGCCTGGGTGGATGGCATGTGCCCTAACCACACAGAAGGGGGTATGAGAGGATCAAAGGCCTTTAAAGCTATTTTTGGACAGCACCCTTAATGTATTCAGAAATGTTTATTTAGGCTTTATATAACTTACAAAACAATTTGAAGAGTATATTTTTATATGAGGAACATGGCACTTTATGTCATTTATAGATGGAAAAGACAGTCACTATTTACAAATGTTTTCTAATGTCGATGGTATAAATTATTTGGAATTTATGTTTTTGATCAAAGTTCCTGAAGTGTAAATACTCCACGTGTTTTATCAAAGTAGCCCAGGTTGTCCTTCTCCATTACGATCCTTCACAATTCAGCATAGCTCATTAGTATTTGATTAAATTGCGAGTAGATAATACATTGGATGTGTCAGCTTTAGATCGGAGAGATTTCTGTGTTTCCAGTTGTCTTCATGGTCCTTTCAGTAACTAGGAAGACCTCGTTGCTTCCTAATAACTTCAAATACAACTTACGTTTTTTTGTTCTCAAAGTCTGCATCACTTACAAACATGGACCGTTGTATTTCTTCTTTTTTACCAATAAAATTTGAGCATCCTTTTAACGCCTCAAGAGTTTTTAATATCACCTCTGTTCCTAAAAATCATTCCCCAATAGAAGCGGTTTCTCACACAATACTTTATTAAGCATTATATCAACACATGATTGGACCCAGACACAAAGCATTCACCCTGACAATTGTTTTACCGAACCAGAAGGCACATTGTAGTCGAGCCCTGTGGTATAAAACGCTGATATGGGAAACACAAGAACTTGTAGCCTTGACTGATGTGGTACTAATGTGTCAGGAGGTGAACAGGCGGCCGCGGCCATGCCACCTCATTGAGCCCGGCTGACTCTTTCCTGTGGGGCTGAAAAGCATTGCAGCCAGCCAGCGGAGCGCGAGTAACAGCTGTTTTGTTAGCTGTCTGAAATCCTGGGGACCGGAACCGCGTAAGCTCCCTTCACTATGCCCGTGGATTGAGGGGCGAGTCGAGCCGATTGTTTCAATACATTTTGTCATTAAAAATCAGAGGCAGAGCAAACAAGGTGGAGCAGGGCGTGAGCAGCCCAGTAAATCGCTGCATTGTTGAGGTGTCAGGACAGTTCAGCTTATCCAGCAGCCGCGAGGAGCAGGGAGGGATGTCATCCTGCACACTAAAGCCTCTGGTGTGATTCTCTCACTCGCTCATTAAATCACTTTCAGCAAGCTCTCACCTACCAGAATCTGTTTCTTATCAAAAGAAAAAAAAGCACACACTCACGCAAACACAGCTACGGCTAAAAAGGAAGCAGGGTATTCAGTAAATCTCTGAAATACTCTATGTTGTCAATTATAGCTAACTCAGCGTGAAATGAGGCAGTAAAGAATGTTGTGAGTTCAAGTATGGTTAATAATTTATGATGCATGCCATAAACTGTAATCTCTTATGTATGTAGTAGTAGTAGGATGGGAAAATATTAGGACTAAGAGGAGGAATAGGATGAACTTCACTGAGAGTATAAGACTTCAAGAAGAGATGCAGTGAAAGCCCATGATGTAGTATGAGCATTGTGCAACGTGCATAGCATCAGTTGTAATTAGTATTGCGTTTTGCATTCAGGTCCTTAGATTAAAATATGGATATCATGCTTGTTTAAAGAAATAGTTTTAAGAGCTTTGAATGTCTCTCTGGCAACGACACCAGCGTTTCAAGGAGGTAAGGCGCTGAGGAGGCTGATTACATCATGTTTTTGGTCTTTCTCTGTTACTGCAGAAGTCACTATGGGGATGGGATTAAACCCAAACCCCTGCTGGTAACATGGGTGTCTGTGAAGAGGGAAAGGCCCCGGACACTGCGGTGCTCTTTGTCTTTGGATTAAAGCACAGAGCATCGCCGTGCCAAAAGGTACCAGCATGAGCTCGCCTCTCCCTAACTCTTCATTTCCCAGACTTAGGAGCAGGAGCTCCTGAAGTCTTGACCTTTTCTTTATACCAGCGGGACCCCATGGGCCTTTTGTTTATCAAGAATACCATAAGCTCCTATGTGGGCGTTAGTGCAAAGCATTAGTGAGGTAGGAAAGTCATGTATACATACCTCTCTGATAGAAATAACTAATTATAGAGCATTTTTCTTCCTAGTCTATCGGCAGTGTGGCTGTCAGTTACTCTGGACAGGCACAGTATATGAGTTTAGTAATGTAGTTCACCCGAAGATAAGGCTTAAATATTAGTAACAGTAAGCGTATATGTGTTCACATGTACTTTTTTTCCTTTCTAAACAAATACTTGGAACCTGCTTGCGGGTGGAGGGCCTCATCTCTCCGGGTTGATCTTCAAAGCTTTTCAAGAGTCTTTCCTCACAGTTTTGAGCAGCAAGCCTCCGTCTCGCTGCTCCACCTCGAAGCCCAACTCCTTGAGTGCGGAGTAGTCGGTGGTGCCACGGCGCTCCAGAACCGCCACCTGCTCCTGGTTCTTCTTGTTGTGTTCTAGGAGGTTCCTGACGGCAAAGATGGCCCACTGGCTGATAACTGGAGGCAATCGGTTAAGGGCAGTAACGTCGATAGTAAGGAAAGGAGCACAATGTAGTTCTTTCAGGGATTTTTCAACATGATTTTAAGGCATATTTTCCAGCACTTGTTTTCCCGAATAAAAAATACATTAAATGGTGTTATTTTTAAAACATAATAGCTAATTGTTATTGAGTCTGAGACGTTTGTAAGCTTGAAATACAATGCATGAACTCCACGTTTGTGAGGTTTCAGTTTTCTTTTGGACCGATTTCATGAAGACATGCATACGTGATCGAACATACAAATTTAGTACAATGGTAGATAAGTTGACACTGGTACATTTTCTATTTCAAACTCCCGAGTGCCTGGTACTTGCCCCATGATGCTGAGCATGCAGACAGCCTAACAAACAAACGAGTTTTGCAGACGAGTTATGTTTTGTGATGTAAAACATTCTCAGCTCACCCCTATCAGGTTTCCCGCATAATTCTACATTTGTTTCTTTCAATATATTCTGGAGAGAAACTGATGTGGACACTGCCATGAATAAGGTGGATTGTTTCTGTAGCTTTAGAAAATATTTGACTGTGAAAACACTCCAAATTCAATGCTCAAAAAGCCATGATAAGGATAGCAATACATAAGATAAGCTTGTACATAAAAAGAGATGTATTTCTAGACTGTTAACCAATATGAATAAAAGGATACATGGGTTGTTGCTGTCTATGTTGCAGTTGTCCAAGATGAGAGGGATGCCTTCCAGTTCACTCACCTGAGGAAACAAGTAAGTAAGGTTTAAAAGAATGGACTGGTAAACAAGGGTTTGGCATCACTGAACGTTTTCCTAATCTTACAATAAAATACCAGTTCTGGAAAAATGCTTATGTTGACAAATTCCTTAGCTCAATAAATGCTTATTTCACAGTGTTTTTTCAGAGTACCTGTATATTACATATTCATGCACCAGGGCATATGGTATTGATTGTCTTAATGAATCATACTTGCAATGATAGAAAACTTAAAATGTGTATAATGTAAGTTTGGATAGTCTCTTAGTTTTTTCAAATAGGTGAGATTGTAAAATGAAGGCCACCAATTAGTATTTCTTGCCGCCAAACAACTAGTATGTCAATATGTATTGTATGAAAAACGTACAGTAGATATACTAGCACAAGGAGAGTACAAATCAATTTAAAAAGGCAAGCCATGTATTGAACCTAAGTGTTCTTAGCAGAGCCTCATTACCTCCACTAGAGCAGCAGTGTGGTTGTGGGTAAGGCCGTCACAACAGGGAGATCTGCTCTGCATCTTAAGTCTGATTCTATAGGCTTTATTACCGTCTTTGCTTGCTGTTGCATTGTGGTTACCCTCCAAACACACTGCTGGGAGCTCCACAACGAGACCAAGTGCTGAGTTAAGAAACTGGAAATGTCCTTTAAACTGTCAAAGAAACAAAAGTCGCTGGCTACTACGAGCACCCAGGTCTGATTTTCCACTTTCAAAATAATTGTCTGAGGCTGCTGACACTACGTCCAAACCCTTAAAAAGGGGTGAATAAAAAGCGACTGGAGCCCGAATCCAGTCCGGTTCAGCGCTTTGCTTCTTAAAATTACAATCTCTCCCAAAGGTGAACAGAATGACATTTGGTTTACTGGAAGAGTTCTCAGTGAAAACAGATATGGGGTGATTTCAGACCACTGACAGACCACAGATCAGCATCCATACATATTATAGAGAGGCCAAATGAGGGTGGCCATCCCACAAGCATTCCACAGATCTGTTTCTATTAAGTAGAACTGAGTCTACGATGTGCCACAGATAGGGGCCAACTCCTCCCCGCCCGCGTTATTATCTATCTGCTCTCTATGTTAATGGCAGGATGCTGACAGATGGAGATGGAGGGAAACTGATAAAATCACCAAAGCGAGGGAGGAAGTGTTTCACATTTCAGTGAAAAACCAAGTTGTTGTGTTGAAAGAACTCGTAAGCTTGCAGTCGCAGGAACACAAAGCCTCATGCTTCATTAGACAGGACACTTATTGTATTTGTCATTGTTAATGAGGAGATGAGGTGGTTTGACACAGCTCATTACCAGAACCTGCACCCTACACATGCTAATTTGGTGTTGAGATAGTCAAAGCAAGACCAAGAGGGCCTCTAGCTTTCTTCTTGACCCATGACCCCATTGTGTTAAACTGACCAAAAGCTCCCAGAGAACAAAAATCTAATAACAATCTCATTTAATGCTGTTTTTTTTCTAAATTCCTTACTTTCTCCAGACCGTAGCTTATTGAGGTCAAATATTACAATGGAAGTCATTTTGAAATGGCAAATATCTTTACAGGATATTATATAAAAAATAGCAAGGAAAGATGTAGCATCAGAAAAACTCCAAGGTTTTTGGGTATAATTTAAGATTAATACAAATTCTGCCATTAGTTATAACGAGGCTTTCGCGTTTTATCCCTTTGGTTTGAAACCAGTCAATCCAACTCTCTTGTGGACTTACCACCTGCTTAAAAAGGAGTCTCAGGGTGTTTCTCAATCGCGAGTAAAGCTGCTGCAGAGCCACTATTTCAAGCATACTACGTCATCGAGTCCCGCCGAAGTACTGTTCCAATCTCCAGCATACTTGGAAATCTACCGAGCCCGGCGTACTCCGTTTGGAGAAATATCGAGGCTGCACATGAGTAGACTCCGCGGTCTTAAAATCCCCACAATGCTTTGCGCACGGACCAATTTCCCCAAATCTGTGGCGGAAGATGTAAGGCGGGGCCTCTCATATGACGCACACCTGCACACTTGCTAGCCTGTTCCACTCTTTGTTTTCCAAATGTCAGGAAGTATTCTTGACTCGCTTCTGAAGCAAGATGCTCGGCAGACATGTGCTACCAAGCAAGCGTACTCGCGATTGAGAAACACCCAGAGTCTGCTTCCCAGCTAAATGTGGTGAGATTTGATTGTGAAATGTTTA